CAGGTGTTTGAGAAGGTCTTCCAGTAGTCACAGGTTCATCACAGGCTCATCCTGTTTGCACATCAAAGCGTCCTTGAGCCAGAACCTGAACACGAGCTGTTCAGGGCCTGTTAGAGGGTTTGTGTGGGTGAGTCTGAAGTGCTTTGCTCTGTGCTTTATGAGTTGTTATTTGTAGGATTAGTAATTGAGTAACATAATGTTGTTAAAGCACAAATCTTTCTCACTTGAACAATAGAACTGCTAAATGTGAGGTAGCAATTTGTAAAACTTTCTATCATGTCATTATATTTCCTAATAGCTAATTATGTTCTCTGTGTTTCCCAGCTCAGTGCCACGGCTGTCAGGTCTGCCAGATTGCTGAGATTGTGGACTCCTTTGGTGAACCCTGTCCTCAACTGGGGAGCTACCTGTCTTTGGACTACCACTGCCAAGATGGTAGACATATTTATAATTCATACAGTAATTATAATCCCAGCTCAATTATTAATTCATAACACTTTCTACATCCACTAGAGGACATGCAGGTCTGAATCTTTATCATCCCATTCTGTACTTATTTCCATGGTCAAAAGCTGCAAAAGATTACTGAAAACACAAAGGAAAAATAAAATGATGGTCTCAATAACTAATTTCACTTCGAATGTATGTCTTGGTTGACTTTAAAATACATTAAGGCTAAATAAGAATATGTTTTGTTTATTCGACTGACAGCAGTCTAGCAACTCTAGCCTTTTACTGACCTGTGGTTCCCATCGCCGGCATCTGTCTTAACAGCCATGTTAACAGATTAGAGTGGTCACACTGCCCATGAGAGTTGCACGTGTCTCAGCTGCAGCTGCAGTGACACTTCATTAGAGAGTCAAGGTCTCGCCTTCTTTTCTCCCAGCAAACGAGGGCAGTAAAAAGGATCTGTTGGTAGTCATATCCACATATTTCAGTCCAGTTTAAACTGTATTCACCTTTTATTTAACACAACTGTGAAAGAATTTCCGGATGTCAACCGGTTGAAGGATCCTCTGCGCCCTCTCGAGTGATCTCTCTCCCTCCCTCTCTCTCTTGCTCTCTTGGAAAAACAAACACACATGACCGCTTTCTGGTTATATTAAGATTCAGATTGTGATGGAAATTTGATAGAGACCTGGAGAACAGAAACCCACCCCCATGTGAAACCCCCTTTTAAAGAGAGTCAGGCCAAGTAAAGAGTTGTTTTATTTTTATTTTTAATTCCTTAACCCATTTGTGTTTTAACTACATGTATAAGGCACTGGAAATTAAATGACATGATTAATTTTTTTTAGATTTTTCATGTACATTATACAAGAAAAAGTGTATGTGGAAACATAGGGCTGTGTATACACCACACGCGTACCAGATGCAGCAGTCATGCGCCGTAGATGTCATGTGCTGCCTATGCCGTCAGCAATGGAAGGCAGCTACCTTGTCTTCTCTAAGACGTAAAGCTTAGGCTTTCCCCCAATAGGCCATTTTCACTGAACATATTGACATGTATCAGCTGATAAATCACAGGTGTAAATAATACATTTAATGTTGGCCAAATTACATTTAGCTGCTTCAGTTTCAGGGTCCTGGTATTGTGCATGCTGGCTCACTGTAAAGCCGTCACAGCTTACTGGGACACTTTAATAGTAGTTTTTCCCACACACCAGGAAAAGGCAGCTGTATTAAGTTTGTTGCAGTCTGCAACTTCACGGCTAGATGTCACTAAATCATCTCAGACAGGACAAAAAACACCAATATACACAATTATACCCTCCTGAATAATTCACTTGCTTTGTTCTCCTTTCAAAAACTTACTCAACTTGACATGAGTGTCATTTTGGTGCTACTTATGTTGGGTTCAGACTACACAATATCAGCCCGAAAAATGGTTGATGGGCTTGACAATTGATTGTTTTATTCCGTGCAGCCTCATGGGCAAATACCATGAGGTGTTCTGGGCCGTTGACCAATAGGAGCACAGACCGCTCTTCCCTGCACAACTGTAAACATGGCAAAGCAAAGAGGAATGATGTTGTTGGTGCTGCTGGGTGGAACTGTGGAACTTTTTTAGGCTTTTCCAAACACAAGGCAGCCAGTTTCATAAACATCATTTGGTCTCTCTCTCTTTCCTGACAACATCACACACATATCATGAAAGATAACAAGTAATGATTTGTTGGGGACCAACATGTAGGTTTGTCATATCTCTCGGTCAAGTGACAGCAAAAATGTATATGACTATAATTGCCTTCTCTGACACAGTGAACATCTTAAGTATTATGTATTTATTATTTACTACACTGCACAATTTTAACTACACTACCTCGGATCATGATTTGTTTAAGAACATCAATCAATTTACTATTTGAAAATCAGCAAAGCAGTTACTCATGCAAACTCATGAAAAAGCACAAAATGAGACTGAGGGGAAAAAAACAGATCACACTGATGGTCTCTGATGTTGTTGCTGCTGTATTAAATATCCCTGTAGTATATGTGCTTTTTATGGAAGCCCAGTTAGTTACAGGCACTTTGCTTCATTTCTGGTCATTTTCTCCCCACAAGGACTCACGCTGTCACTGAGCACTGTGGCTGCTGTTTTTGATGACGTCACTATCAGCGTGAAGTGGCTCTTAAACTTGCCCCAGGGAAATCTAAGCTGCAAGCTAAGTACTGGAGATGACCATGTCACTTATCTGCACAGACCAGAGGGGTGAGTGGTAACTTTTAATTTCCCCCTGGGATTATTAAAGTATTTCTGATTCTGATTCTGATTCTGATTATATACTGACTATGGCTGACTATGTGGGTTTAAAATAAGATTAAAAATGATTTCATAAATTGAAATGTTCTTATGAAGGTCTGTTTATTGTTCATGAGGAGCATGACTCGGCCCGTGAAGACTGCTGTAAAATGTATTTTGTGACTCCAGAGGAGTTTTTTCAAGTTTGAGAAAATAACCCTGATGATTTGATGATTTGGCTCGAGACACATTTTAAAGTCCAGGTAAAATGGAATTCAGAGTGCTATTTGCTTCCACATATTGATGTATGTCATTGCAGAGAGGGTGAGCACCTGTGATGGGCCCTTAAAAGTGCTAATGAAAGAGCCATATAAACAACCTATATAGGTTGGAGGACAGAATGGAGCTAAATGTGGATTACAAGAAGGGTGTGCTATTTCACCATTTCATCTGTACACTAAGAAAAGTAAAGATTTGACATTTAAGGAGGGGTTTGTGTGTGATGTATGCAACCTAAATGACTTATTTTTCACCAGAAAGGAACATACTTTCTGCTAACTGATTTTATATATGGATTGTTTTTAGGTTGGAGAGCATTGTGGTCCACAAATATACTTACCCAGGTACATTTGTTGTGGCAGTTGAATGCACAGGCAGTGGCATACATATTACAACTCAGAAAATAATAGCCATTCAAGAGCCCATCATAGAGTTTGGTGTCATCACATGCTATACTGGGAACCTGTATTTTCAAGCAACCAACTGCAAATCCCTTTATGGAGAGCAATTTCAAATTCAGATGGAAGTAAAAGCAGGTAGGTGCCATAATATAATATACCATAATTCATCCTGTCAAATGTGATATCACTGCTTGAAAGTATCAGGTTTTGGTGTTTCTATTTTACTCATTTTCTTTTCTCAAATGTATTGTTTGAATTGGTCATTTCTTAAATAAATTGTTCACATTTTTCTTTTCTTTCTGCAGGTACAAATGTGACCTACAGAATCCAGAGTGATGAAATGCTGTTGTTGGGTTCCTCCGTTGTCAGGGGAAATGTTCCCCAGAACATCACAGTGACCCCAGAAATGGTGAAGCAGCTTGGGCCTGGCTGCCACCAGCTGACCCTTTATGCATCCAACATGGTCACGTTCCCTGCAGTGTCTGCAGACCTGCAGGTAATTCAGTATTTATCAAGTAAACATGTCCTATTCTATCAATAAAGCACTAACATGATGCATCAACAGATCATGTCTTTGTAATGATTGTGAAGGTGGCGTTTGAAATGTAAGATTTAAAGTTAACATTTTGATTATTTAATTAAGCAGATGATTGAGGAGTAAAAGCCTCACTAAACCTGAAATTAAATTTAACCTTTAATTATAGAATCTCATCACCTAATGAGTGGCATATCAGTAAACACCAGACCACAGTGGATACATCACCGCTCTGAATTTCATCCAAATCAGCATCCTGTGATGTTACCTTTCATTATTCATCTCTAGGCAAATCTTTGGCTAATCGTGTTTATTTTTAAACACTGGAACTCTATAATCGATTTAAGTTTATTCAAAGTTAGAATTGCTGAATTGGAGGCGGTGTATAGAAATAGAAACACAAATTCAGTTTCACAGTCAAAACATGACTTGAACAATAAAGAGAGATTGCTCTCCCTCTTTATTTAAGCCTTTGCCTCATTTTGTTGTCAGTGTCGGTATCTTGGAACAAATTAAACTGCTTTGAAGATTTTTTCCACATGAATACTAAAGATAAGAAGATAAGAACATTAAGGGAACCCTAAGTTTTCTTCATTATCCCCTACATGTACTAGCTAGCAGTCTTTTGCTCTTCCTATGTTGGCCGATTGCTGTGTCTCTGACAGATGCAGTACTTCATGTCTGTCTCCATAGGAATGTGTTCAGGTTCATTATTGAGTAGGTCACCCACATTTTGGCAGCTTTGCTTTACTAAGGAAGGATTAGTAGTAGTTGTTGTGTTATGTAGCCTGTGTAGACGCGTGTTAGATGCATGGCTGAAAATGTCTGAAATGCCTCCTGTGTAGACATGCCTTTATACTTAATTAACAAATCTGTCAGTGTATTATCATCTGCTGTGATGCTTTTACAGACATGGACATTGATGTGTTTCTCTGTTTTGTAATTCTTCATATACGGCAGATGTGTGTGTTAGAGAAAGTAGCCGGGCTTCAGGCTTCTGTGTTGACAGAGAGGGATGAGGACTCTCCATATATTACTGTTGGTGTTTCCCTCGAACGGGGAGCGCCTGTGCTGCTCCTCTTCTCTCTGACTGGAGACAACAGCTCATTCTCTGAGACCAGGAAAATGAATACAAGGAAGGAAATATTTCGGATTGGACACCAGATTCAAGGTATGGAAGACATATTAAACAGGGGCTACATATGAGGCAAAACTGTAATTCGCTGAATTCTGAAAATGCATAACCTACAAAAATCTGAAAGAAAGACCATTATTATTATTTTCTTTATGTTTCAGATGTGTATATGTGCTGAATTTATTGATATGAGCTGGTTTTAAATGTTTTGCTGCAGGATCTGTACAAGTGAAACTCAGAGCATGGAATGTCTTCTCCTCTTTGGAAGTGGATGTGGATATGTCTGCTTCCTGTGGCACAGATTTAGACATTAAACCGGTAAAATGTTTTCTTTTTGCATTAAACAGTAGTGGTATTTTATATTCACGAGAACTTAAGCCCTCCAGCTCTCCTAATTTTGTTTAAAAGCTGAACTGTGCAACTTTTGTCTCCCCCTCTGGCAATGAGAGTAATTACCCTGTATTCTGTCAGTGCTCAATATGAAAGGAAGCAAACAAATATATTTGTATATATTTCTAAACGCGTCAAGCTTAGTGATTCTCAGACAACTCCAATGGAATGGCCAGCCTGGGAGTTGCCCGGTTTGATGGTGGGATCACTGAGGAAAAACAGGATTTTAGAGAATAATCAGATTCTTCAGAACAAGTGAACTATTAAATTTAGAATTTTTGCCCATTTCCAGAGGTTGGAAATTGATCACCCTTGGAATGGACTGAGCCTCTTCCAAGGATAAATTTGGGCCCTTTTTGGTTTAAATCACTGGCACTGTTGGTTGATGTAAAACGCACCAAGGGGGACTCCCTACACTGTGAAATGCAAAGAGATTCAACTGGCAGAGATAGGCTTAATCAATATTGTGTGAACAAAAGGGGCTTGAATGTCATTCATGTGTAAACTCCAGTTTTAAAGTCAGCTTTCCAGCACTGTTGATAAATTCTTCTGTTCTTTTTCATTTTCAGAGGAAGAAACATGTTAGAGTTGTCAGATCTTCACTGGAGCTTGATGCAACACCTTCAGCTTCAGTAACTGACATAAGTCAAACAATCACGCTTTTATATAATAAATCACCCAATCTAGAGAAAAATCGATACCAGTGGTCATGCAGTAAGCGTTTTACTTTTTATACTGTTTTTGTAGGTAGTCATGGAAGTAACACTCTGCTCCTACAGTAACTCATTCATCTTCCCAAAATACCCCAATTCATTATAGTGTGTATATAGGTAGAAATTTTATGTTGGGAATGCTTATTTACAATATTGCTAAAGAGACTGTTGTTGTTGGCCAACTACCAAACTATCAAAATGTTTTAGAAACTGAACATTAGTCTTAAATGTTTTGTAACAGCATGTCAATTGTCATTTCAGTAGTATGACTTTCCTTGTTGTTTCACAGAGAATCCCTGTAAATGTGCAGGAAATTTCGAGACACTGATCCATACCATTACAGGAAACTGCCTACCGGATCCATTTGAATTTAATAAGTATCATTTTGAAGTGATAAAGAAAGAAGATAAAAGTAAAGAAGATAACAGTAAAGAAGATAAAAGTAAAGAAGATAACAGTAAAGAAGATAAAAGTAAAAGTGAATCCATATGCATAACCCGTACCCCTCTGACTGACACAAATCATTTAAGGTAATTGATGTTTTTGAAACTGATCTGCTCTGATCACTGAACCAAACATTCTTATCTTTACTCGAGACCAATTCTGTATATTATGTATTTCAGGTGTAACTACAATTTGTTGTACAACAGAAAATAATAGAGATGGAGTATTTGAATTATTTATAACACAACTACTTCAGAGTTTGTAAAGGAGCTCATATCTCAACAAAAAATATTTTCTAAAAATGTAGATTTTTTTCTGTCATTGTTAACAACCAGATCCAGCAAACACACAGAGTACAGTATAAATAAGTTGTATTTATATGGTTTTACTAGACAGGTTTTTTGAGATGAGTGTGTTAATCTAATTATTTATGTATTTGTCGTAGTCTCAGTTGTACTGCGGGCTGTGACCCAGTAACGGACAACACAGATGCAAAAATAGAAATGGACTGTACTGCACCACTGTGTCCAACAGTTGTGTGGTACATTGAGGCCCAAAAAGACAAAGATGAGTGGCCAGTAAGTCTGATAAATACATTTTGAACTGTTTGGGAGCTAGAACTGAAGGATCAGATACTGTGAAATGCTTTAGAAATAATTCACCATTGTCTTAATTAATGTGATTTGTTCATTTTTTACAGGAGGAGACAAGGAGCTGCTACGAAGATGCAGAGACAAAGCCACTTATAAAGCAAAAGGATGGTGGAACTCAATTAACTGTGAGTCATAGCAGACTTGCAACAGCCAAGTCTAACCATGAGGATGTCACTGTGGTGGTAATATTTGGTGCGTATATATCAGTCAGTAAAAATAAAGATGCTCTGTGAATTAACTTGCCTTTCTCTGTGATAGATTTTTGATTCCAGATTTGTGTAGAGTTAGGGTTAATGGTGAAATTAATTGATGCAAAGAAACTACACCACTACAGAATCAGCAGAACTATTTCAGTTTATAGAAATGATTTAAAATGTTTGTATTTCACATTTCTGACTATTTAATCAAGATTAACAAATGGGTTTTTATAGCCCTTTATTACTTGAAAATAACAATAACACATTACACATTGTTATTTTCTTTTTATACCAAAGAGGTGTCTGTCATACCTTACTACAAAACATACCGCATAAAGACATCATCATCAGCACCCACCACCAAAAACCCTACTGGTTCTGCCACTACATCATCTGGCACTACTACCAACACCGCTTCATCTGGCACTACCACTACCACCACTCCATCTGGGACTACTACTAACACCGCTCCATCTGGAACTACCACTACCACCGCTCCATCTGGAACTACCACTACTAACACCGCTCCATCTGGAACTACCACTACTAACACCGCTACATCTGGCACTACTACAACCACCACTTCATCTGGCACTACTACTGCTACCACTACCTCCACGACCACCAGTGAAACATCCTCACCAGCAACCACCAACAATGATGATGGCCTTCAGTGTACCATATCACCACAGAGTGGAACAATCCTCGATATTTTCAAAATAACTTGCAACACTGAAGTTACTTGCTCTAACTGCCAGTATTGTTTTAAGACTCATGAGGGTAAGTAATCCAAGTTGGCAAACATATCCAGGATAAGGGAAATTGTTTATCTTTAACTTCAAAAAGCTAATCACATAATAACTCTTAGAGTGCTCTCCCATAAATATATTAATATAACATATTTTCTTGTTTGAAAATTGTCAGGTAGGCATCTGCTTTGCAGTAAGAACAATGAAGTGAATGCTGTCTTCCTTCCTCTTGGAGACAGCAATGCCAACAACAACCTCATTATCACAGCAACTGCAAAAAAAGGCAGCTTTGTAGCTAGCACTACTATAACTGCACAGGTTTGTCAAAAGCATGATGGGAATTAATGACAAAATAAGACCTATGGAAATGCTAATCTAATATTCCTTTACGCTGCTGTAATAAAAAAGGCTTTTTCTCCTCAGGTGCTGGATTCAGAATCTTCAGTAGATGTTCTTAAGGCGGCAGTGGACAATGCTGTGGATCAGCTGAAGAAACGGGATCTGCTGTCAGGAGAAGTCCTGGGACAGATCTTTAGTGCAGTGTCCAATAAACTAAATGGTCAATCTGATGAATCGACAAAAGCTGATAGGCAGAAGGTATACACGCACTAACGTAAACTTATAAGACTAAATGTCTGTACATCTTCTCAAGTAGGTGGCACAGGGACCCGGGGGTATAGATCCAAGATCCAAGGTGTTGTGCTGGGCCAAACTGTCAAATACATGAAGAAAATGAACACTTAAGATCATGAAAAAAAGTTTGGTGTCATCACAAGCACAACAACCACACCTAGCTCTGATCTTGGGTGTGGTCAGAGAAGCCTCTAATAGCCTTTTAATGTTTTAACATTCAGGGATTTTGGATTGTTTGCTGTACCAGAATCTAGATAGAGGGTTGTTATGAAGAAGTGTGGGTAGACGGTTAGTCTTAGACCGGAAGAGAATAATTATGCCTTCAAAGTAACTTCAAAATGGTTTATTTTGTTGTCTGTTCTTAGCTAGTTTGCTAATATTAGCCATTAGACAACACTGGAGAGCTGTATCCAGTCAGGACTGCTAAGCTAGCTTTCGGCAGTCAGTGAATGCCACCAAAACTGAAGGCTGAGCGCTTATTTAACATCTGCTTATTCACATGTTAGAACAACATGTTTGCTGTTATGGCAGGTTTTCAGTTGGTGGGAGGGACGAGGGATGAACCAAGTAATGCAGTACCATAATAAGTCATGTAATTACTTTTTCCATTGAGTAATTAATGAAGTAGGCTAATGAAATTAGTGAAATTAATTAGAAATTAGTAATGGTTTACATTTTCAATTACTTGCCCAACCCTAATTGTAAAGTTTCGGTGTCAGAGACACCCTAGTTCAAGATTCAAGTTAAGTCCAAGCCACAGAGAGACAGGGTGGCTTTCTTGACATTGGAAAAAAATATCAGTTAAGATTTGGTAAGATATTCTACCAAATACTAAACTGAATAATCATGAATGAAATCATGAATGCTTGTCTCTGTTGAAGCTTCGTGAGCAGATGCTGGATGAAATGATTGAGACAGTAGAAGAAGGTCCCACCAACACTCCAGAAGAAGTTCAGGGGATAACCAGAGGACTTACTGATGTTTTCCACAAAGGCACTGAACTCAGCTCTTCTGCTCAGGTACTATAAAGTGAACCTTACACTGATCAGAAATTACATCATAGGAAGGAGGAATCATTGTGTAAAATTATTTTCATCAAGGTTCACTGCTTTATGTTAATGAATAAGCACTGGGAGGACAAGGATGCCTTAGCTCATAAGCTTATAATTTATATGTGTACTTGAGGCAGGGTATTAAAGGAGGGATATGTGTCTGTGTTATAATGTCTGTCATAACAAAACAAATATGACTTAACATGTGAGAGTTTATTCCCACCTCCAGGAAGAGGCTTCATTATTGTTTGAAAACCTCAGCTCATCTCTCATCCACATGGAAGTTAGCAATAGTGAAGAAATACACTCTGCAGCCAGCACCATTGTGGAAGGAGCAAGCAATATCCTGGACTATTCTTCCAATGTGAGTATTTCACCTTGCAGTTGAGATTTACTTCTCTATGGAAGCTTGGATGATTAAAATATTACATGTGCTGATCAGTGATTATCACAGGAATATTTATAGATCTCCTTTGTAATAAATGGCTTGTGTTATCCTTGCAGAAAATAATATCCGATGCCCTTCTCAATACTCTGAACAATACACAGAGTGCACTGTTAAGATTTAAAGATGTTAACGAGGGGCCAACTATCATCAAACAAGCTCATATTTGTGTGTTAGTTAAAAGGTAAGTTCGTCTTCAGCCACAAGCTCCGACATAGAAAGTCTTTGTTGTTTTCGGAAATAAGCCTACTTGTTTTTTGCCAGAGAGTTACATTAGAAGACTGATGCCACTCTCATGTCTTAATGTAAAATGTAAGACCACAGCCAGAGCTGGTTATCGTTGCCTGGAAATGGGAAAACAGCTAGCCCCGCTGTCTGTAATGAAATCTGATCCATGATAATAAAGATACAGAAAACTAGAAATATGTGGCAAAAATAGCATATTGTCAATATTTTAGAGAACCCCCAAAATTTTACAAATCACGTTTTCAGGGGAGCTCATGTCTTATTAAGAGGAGTCAAGCTCCTCCTGGCTCCCCTGTAGTTGTGTGGGTTGGACTTTTCATTGGCCAGGAGCAGCAACTTCCAAAGTTAGTTCTAAAGTCTCTGCGGGTTGAACTTCAATCAGCCAAGAAATAGACAGTCTTCCATACCACCACTTGTTTCCATAAATAATAACCTGTTAATTAGAGAGCTCTAGAGGTTTTGGTAGGAGGATTTTGTTTCCTTTGGACAGAGCCAGGCTAGCAATTTCAGCCTGTTTCCAGTCTTGATGCTAAGCTGCACTAACCCTCTGGCTGTAGCTGAATATTTACTGGACAGAGGATTTTAGGTGGTTTCATCTAACTCAAGAAAGCAAATTATAAGTGTATTTCTTGTAGATTAAAAAAAAAATCTTTGAGTGCAATAGGGGGTTCAAATGTAGGCTACCAGTTGGTTATTGCTTTTACCAAGAAAAAAAAGGAAAATAGTGCCATCGTGCATATATTTTTGTAGTGTATTTGTTCTCAGTGTGGTTTGTTTTTTCTTCATTTCTTTATACCATCTCACAGTCAATCCCCATTAAACAATCTGCTACTTAATCTTGTTTGAAATAACTCATAATTAACTGGAAAAATATCAGACACCACACCCCAATGACATACACTCAAACAGTAGAGTAAGACTCCTGGCCTGCACATGCATTACTGAGAACATGAGCAAACTAAAATTCAAAGCATAACCAACTAATAACTAACTAATATCAATCTCTTTGTATCTTTTCCCTCAGAGTGATACCGGGAAGTTTGCACTCAAATGCTATAACTATTCCCAACAGCTACTCCCCAACATTTTCTCTACCACAATCAACACTACCCCCTGATATACTTTCTTCAGATGAACCAGTGGATGTACGCGTAAGTCAGAAATTGCAGTGATTTAACTGACAAAATGACTCAAATCATCTTCATGGGGCAGCCCTGGTTAGTGCAGGTTCAACAGGATAGTGTCCATGTTACATCACATGTCTAAGATGATAATGGGGGTTTGTTCTTTAAATGTATTTACAGATGCTGACTTTCGATAAAAATCCATTTACTTGGAAAGAGAGCGGGAACATCAGCGGCCTGGTGGGTTCTCTAGCCCTAACAACAACAGATGGTTCCAGTATCCTTGTGGAGAACTTGAGTGAGGATATCGAAGTGAGTACAGCAGCAGTGCAGCATCCACACAGAGTTGTTCAATACTGTGCTTTCCTGTCTTCTGTGGGGACATATATGTTCATATATTATGTTAATATTTAATTTACAGCGTACTGGATTAAGCGCTTCATTCGTTTTTTATGTAAAACTTCTAGCAAGTAAAATATAATCTGTTTACAGCTGCGTTTGTGTTTATGTAACATTAATGCAGCAGGCAGTCTGACATCTCTAATTGTGAGTGTGATTAAAGGAGAGATTCGCTCCCAGAGCTGCTTTTGTGCATATCAGAGGGGTTATGATTAAAAGGTGCAAATTAACAGTGATGGAGAAAGTGATGCTCTGAACTGGAAACAGTTCACATAGCTCCATAAATAATTATAGGACCTTTTACTCTTTTATCTCCAGTTAAATTCATTTTATGTGTACCTGGTACCATGGCAACTGCGTATACCAAGTTCTTTTAAGTGGTCTGGCAAACAAGAGGTACTTGAGGCTGCAGTGACCAATGTTAGGTGTCAAGGCAGAATTAAAAGAGCAGAATCAGAACATATGTTCTCTTAGTAAGCGTTGGTCAGGATTCTCAACTCCATTACAAATAAACTCACTGCCCCCCTCGCCATGAGGAGAGCACTAAGGTCAAAGATGATTGGAGCAGTTGATTATTCTCACCAATCCAGAAAGAAACCTACCTGTAATGCATGAGAAGTCCCACTCATCCCACCTCATATCCATCGCATCTCAGCATAAAAACACTTACGTACTAAAAATATGCATGCACCTTCATTCAGAAGAATAGCAACTTAGGCATACTGTTTGGAGGCAGTGAGTCACTGAATTCACAGTGGGGACACTAAAAAGCACACTGCGTATTGTTAATGGGGCTATGTTATGTTCTTGGTGGATTTCTGTGTGCCTCAGTGTTTTATATCGATTTTCTGTGCATGTACAAGTTCTGAGATGTGACAAAACACAAGTCCACAGAAAACACTGCTCCTGAACTGCATGACAAGCCTCTTTGTATTCAGGCTTTTCTTCTGTTACACTATAACATGACATTGTAGCAGGCACCAGCTATAGGCTAGGTGACAGTGCAGTCCCACCCATTTAAGCCTGCTCAGGCTTATGGTAGCTGACCAATCAGAGCAGGCGTCTCAGGAGAGGGGGACCTTCAAGAAAACGGAGGATGTCAGACAGAGGGTGAAAAAAGATGCTGCTGCAATGACTAGCATGAGAAAAACAAGGTGTTTTTTGAACAGTGAAGCATGTAAACCTATTATTGTAAAGCCCCCAAATACAGGTATGAACCTGAAACTCTTTAATTAAGCAACCTAATTGTTAATATGTTTAATTAAATTACAAAAGCTGTAAGGGTCTATTTTGTGGCATTTTGTCTGGTCCGCAGATTCTCTTGCCAAGGCCTGTTGGAGAGCAGGTGAACACCTCTTTTTTGGATCTGGGGAACTACAGCACAACAGTCATTGACCTTTCTTCAGCTGACAATACGCTGGTGTTAAAGGTCCAGTAAGATGTTTTTATCTCCACTTCTGAGACCTGTAATGAGCAACACATTTCATATCAGCTTTGGTCTACTTTTACACTATACAACAGTCAAATTGACTGCATTAATAGAAAGATACTATTAGTAAAGCCACTTCAATTGACAACATCATAAATTCTTCAACTGTTACTTATTATTATTGTTTGCTAATTATCCTTTTTTCCCTTTAATCTTGATATCACAAGGCTAAAAAAAAAAAAAAACTGTGTTTAAATAATGATCATTGCCTTTGCTTTTCTGGATGCACATTTTGTTGCAACTATGTCGATATACCTTTTAAAGATGGTGCCTTCAAAGGATCCTTTACCCTTCAAACTGTTCCTTGGTTATTTGGACTACCCCAATGACGCAAATTATGTAGCAATGACAGAGATGCCTCACCAGGGAACAACACAAGGTATACATCTCTTTTCTTAGTGGTGGACACGATATGTTTTTAACTCTAATATCTTTTAAATTTTACTTTTGATACATTACTTGAGTACTTGTATGTGTGTGTCTTATACAGAGGAGAGATACACTTGGCTACTAGAACCCAAGGATTTGAAGGGAAACACTGGAGTGCATTATCTTGTGGTGAGGCCCATAGTTGGCCCGGGTATAAAATCCATTAATGCCAGTTTATCAGTTACCTCCATCACTACCGCATGTAAATTTTGGGATGAATCAAAATTGGATTGGAGCGATTATAGATGCAGGGTAAGTACAGTAATTCATTAAATCTGCTTTTGATCTGTAATATGTTCCCCAAACTTTAATGAATAAAATGTTGTTGTCTTCCAAGGTTGGTGTTCAGACCACACATTTAGTTACCCAGTGCCTCTGCAACCACCTCACCTTCTTTGGGAGCTCTTTCTTTGTCACCCCCAACCTTGTTGACCCATCACGCACTGCAGAGCTGTTTGGGACTTTTGCTGAGAATCCTGTGGTTGTCTGCTTTGTGGGCGTACTCTTTGTTGCCTATCTCTTGGTGGTTGTCTGGGCACGACGAAAAGACATTCAAGATGTGGCCAAAGTACGTTGTATCTCAAGCACCAGAGTATAACTCAGATGTAACATTGCACAAAATGTATGTCAGTTTTGCAGTTTACAAGAAGAAAGATTAGACTTAATGTTCTTGGTTGGCAGGTTAAGGTGACTGTGCTGGAGGACAATGACCACATGGATGAGTATCGCTACCTGTTGGGTGTCAGCACTGGGTATCGGAGAGGAGCCTCCACTTCCTCTCAGGTAAATGTGTAATCGGTTCAGTTAGAGACACTCATAGAAAATAGCCTCCAGGGAGCCACCAAAGAATCTGCACAGCAACAGGTATTCTGCTGAGATTGCCCTCCTGTGAACACACAATATGTTATTTTTGTCACTAGGGGTCTCTCACATCAAAACAATAACAAACGACGTAGTTTGATTACATTGTGAAGTAGTGTTGGATCCTGGGAAACAACCACCATTGCTGATGAAAAGTTATCTAACGTGATTCAGGCAGGAACCTGGAAAATGGCTACTCATCAGTTGCTTCATTGCTCTCAGTTTCTTTATGTGCAGCTAGTTGGTGAACAAAGTGGAGACTTTGATAGCTTTAAAGATATTTCCCTCAGGAGTTGGTAAAGAGCAAAAAGAGCTAAAAGCAAAGGGAGTATTGGACTTTGTAGGATGTTTAAAAAAGGACTCTAACTAACACATTACTCATAATAGCTTAGTTAATAATGTGTAAGTGTTACTTTTTCAGGTTGTTCTGATGCTATGTGGCAAACAAATCAATAATTACAGCTTTGATTGATAATTGATACATTTATATTTTGTTAAATTCAGAGGCTTGTTTTTACAGTTGATTTGAGCTGCTTTTGTGAACATTTTGACAAGCATTTTTCTTTTTCAGTTCATCCGAGCTTTTCAACTCCCTATTTTGCTTTTGTTTGTTGTTTGCTTTTACATCTCTCCATTCACCCATCTCTCTGAGGGAATATCTTGAATGTCATTGATTCAATTTTAGAGAAAATGCTATGTAACAATGTGTACTGATGCATCATTTTGGTATTACGCTGATGGGCCACGCTGAAGAGAAGATATAGTTTTTCTGTCTGTACATCACACGCAGTCTCTTGAACTTTGCTGATCCCATTTCACGACTTAATGACAGAAATATTCTTATTTATTTGTCAACCATTCTGCCATTTTTTTTATCTAATTGGTCTTCTCTTCTTAGACAAATGACACCTAACAAACAAACACAAAAATAGAAAATACATCAAGTATGCATAATATTTACATGAGCCTACATTGTCAGGTCACAGACATTCTTTCACTCACGGGAAGCAGCGCTTTAATTAAATTAAATTCAATTCATATTTGTATAGCGCCAATTGCATAACACGAAGTTATCTGCAGGACACTTTCAAATAGAGCAGGTCTAGACGCGACACTCCCTAGTAAACATTTACAGAGAGCCCAACAGTACTTGGCGACGGGGGCAAGGAAAAACTGCCTGTTAAGAGGCAGAAACCTAGGACAGACCCTTCGGCTCTAGGTGGGTGGTCATCTGCCTCGACCAATACCCTTTAATACATATCTCATTACTAGTAACAGATACATTTTAAATATACATACACACATACATTATATATGGTCTCAATTCAGTATTGATACATTCATATACTGAATTGTTAATTAATCTTCTATATTAATTTAGACTGGCTGCCAGGTATGCAGAAAGTGCTCCAATCTGTTTTTAGTTATATATGATAACCTCTCAAGTGGAATTAAATTCAGGAGTTTTTCAAACCAAAGTCATCAGGAGGTGTATCACCAATCCACCTTTGAAGAATACATAACCTTGCAGCACACTGACACATTCTGAATATATATTTATACTTAACAACTGGATCATCCAAACCTAAAATACAGATGCCTGGGTTTAATGTTGGCTTGCATACCATTAATTTTCCTTTTAACATTAATCCAGAATTCCACAATATTTGAGCATTCCCAGAAAACATATTTAGCTTTGCTGATATTAAATTTTGGATGGATTATAGAACAGTCAGGATCATCCTTGGTTCTAGTAACCCAGGTAACATACAGTTTATGGATGATTTTAAATTGTTCCCCAATTATCTTTACTTATTGTGGTCCCAAACAATTTCCAGGAACATCTGCTGGTGTTAGAATCCATCTTCTGCCCTTTTACAGTTTCCATGTACAAATAACTGTCTTTTAAGATACAGTGGCAGCTTTGACCAATCATTTTTCTGCGAAGAAAATCTCCACCTTCCTTCTATACTGGTGGAAACAAATGAACGTACCTCCACATTTGCATTAGTATCTAAAGAATTGTGCTTGTTTCCAATCCATACTCTGTCCTCAACTGAGAGAATTTCATCGCCAACCCATTAAACAGATCCTTTATATTAATTATCCCTACCTCCTGCCATCTCTTAAATCCAGTATCTAAGCAGGAAGAAGGAGGGAAGTGAGGGTTATTTACCCCAGGAGCAAGAAATGATAAACATCCCATCATCTCATAACATATTTAAAATGATGTGTCACCATACTTGTTAAGGTTGTCAAGTTTATTAGTCAAAGTGAAGGTCTTGCTGAGGTCTTTTTTAGTTTTAACATACAGTATTAAACTGTTGTAGGTGACAATAACGTTGCTGGGTGCAGAGGGAAACAGCGAACCACACCACCTGACAGATCCCAAGAAATGTGTGTTTGAGAGAGGTGCAGTAGATATGTTCCTGCTAACAGCACCCTTCTCCCTGGGAGACCTGCAGGGCATCAGACTGTGGCACAACAACTCAGGGAGCCATCCAGCCTGGTAGGCAAGCAGAGAAATGTCAGAGCAACACAAAAAAAGTGTATTTTATAGTATTTTCTACCTCATTGGAAACTATTATAATATAATATTAGTCATTCTTGTAATGTAGTTATTATGACCTACAACACTGTGAACATGGAATGTATGTCTTGACTCACAGTTATCCAAACATTACAGATATATTTTCAGGAGAATGCAGTCGGTCATCAAATACAATTCAGTTGTCATTTTACCGCCCCTACAGTGTAACACAATCATTTACCTGTTTATTTAGTCTGTTATTTTAGTGTAATTTCTCAGCAACCAAGTCAGCTATGATGTAACTTTTAACTTTAAGACACACTGTCACATGAATACAGGTCATTTGTAATTGTAAAGTTATTACAGACTTTAAATTGTCCACCTTTTTTTTCAGGTATGTAGGCAATGTCATGGTGCAGGATTTACAGACAGAGCAGAAATGGCATTTTCTGTGCAACTCCTGGCTGGCCATCGATGTGGGAGATTGTTCCCTCGATAAAGTTTTTCCTGTTGCGACAGAAATGGATTTGAAGAGGTTCAGGTAAGGTAAAAGCATTGAGTTATTGGGCAGCTAAATCATACCCACAAGCACACTGTTGAAGTCTACAGGCTGAATGTCAAACTGAAACTGGGAGTTTTTATTTGAATTTGAATGATGAGAGCACAGATCAAATGCAAATGAAATGCAATAGCTGGTTTGGATTTTATTTTGTTTACTGCAAGCTTGGTTTTTGAAATATTGGTATTTGAAATATGACAAACTCACAGGCAGGATGTAGCTTTCAATTGAACTCACATTTCCATGCTCGTGAGGATAGTAGCATCTATCAACACATAGACAAGTATTATTTACAGGAATATTTAAAACAAGCAACCTTAACCCAGGCTGGCAATTACAATTATTGTCATGGACAAAACCTATTGATAAATAGAAACACTGTTGTCCCTGGCCAGACTTTCAAATGGCATCTTAAAATTTCAATTCAACTATGTAACAGGTGAATTCAGCACTGAGCATAGCTGTTCATATTGCAGTATGATATGTTGTGTTTTTTTTATTTCATATCTGGCTACAGACACATTTTTTTTCTCCATTAAGTTGAACTGAATGTAAATAAAATGGATTAAAAACTGCCATTTACCGCTAATTCCTGTTAAGCCCCTATATTTTGCCTGTGATGATTTGCTGAGGATTTATAGGTTTTTATGAGTCGAGATAGAGATAAAATAACTAAAACAAGATTACAATTGCGATGCTAATTCATCACTAATTGCTTTTATTTACCCTCGTTCCTTTTATTTTCCAGCAATTTGTTCTTCATGAAGACAACAAAAGATTTTAGTGACGGACACCTCTGGTACTCTGTGATCAGTCGACCACCCAGCAGCACATTCACTTGCGTTCAGAGAGTTTCCTGCTGCTTTTCTCTGCTGCTCTGTACCATGCTGACCAGCATCATGTTTTATGGCATCCCAACAGATCCCTCTGAGCAGACCATGGACCTGGGTACAGCGCATTTTCATTAGAGTTCAATTTACTCTAAGAAAAAGAATATTTTATATATTTTGTGTGCTTTCAATTTTTAAAACTCTGTTTATGACCTTGTAAAGTTGCTGGTTGTTGTTAAGTAAAAAATTGATTTTTAAATGTTTTCTGTCATCCACAAATAAATAAGAGTGCACAGCCTGCAACATGTATTTTACCTCTCTCTCAATCTCTCTGTTTCCAGGTCACTTTGAATTTACCTGGCAGCAGTTCATGGTTGGAGTTCAGAGCTCCCTCATCATGTTTCCAGTGAATATCCTCATTGTTAGTATCTTCAGAAACACCCGTCCCCGGGAGACTTCCTGTTGCAAGTGCAAAACAAAAAAAATGACAGACACTCTTGAACAGACTTCATTCCCACAGACCGCCACCACCAACGTGAATGTTAATGTCACTTTAGAAACTGTCATCAAGGTAGGTGCTTCATATTTTTCATCTGCTATTTAAACTAGAAACTTAGGGTAGTTATTTTATTGACTCAGAAAGATAGAACATTTGGGTCCAAACAATATACAAAAAAGATCATTTATACAATAAACCCATTAATTAAAAATAAAAAAAATGAACAACATACAATCCCATTAGTCAGTCTGTAGCACATGACAAGTGCATAGCGAGCTAGATTCCACAAAGTGTTAGTTCAATTCATCATGTCCATATTGTACACAGATATCCTGTGTGCACACGAGTATGTGTTCTTTAGTTTGTATGCCAGTCTCACAGCAACATACACATTCAGGTTCAGGTTCAAGTTCCCTTTTCCACTCACAATTAGTGAGAGGACAACCAGAACAGAATCATAATTTGTCAATCATCTCCCTACGGTCACTCTCAACAGACAAGTATGAATCATGACTAGGTTCTGTTTTTTTGTTTTATTTCAAGAACATACCACAAGGGGTCATCAAGCATGCCATGATACTCCTTCATCTTCACAAAAACCTGTCTTGTTTTTCTCTTAATAAAGCTTGCACTGTAAGGGGTCATGCCTCTAACAGGCAGGTTAGGTTAGGTTACGTGTAGTGGACCTCACCCCAAATAGCAATTTCATTCCTGTCATGGAGAGAGTTTCAACAGATTTTAAGGGCACTTTTAACCGAGCCTTACACCCATAAAAAATAGATAAAAAGCAGCCTTGAAAACCTTTTGACACAAAAAGGGACAGATAAGAATGCAATTAATTAAGTTCTTTGTTTGCTCTTTTACATGTAGGGCAAACAAAGTTTTGGCATTTCCATCAGCTCTGAGATTATTCTCACAACGTAAACAAATCAAGCTGAATGGGCTGCTTGTCTTCATTAGTCCCAAAATAGCTGTATAACTTTATTTTATCATCATTAACAAACATGCCAGATTCCTCACAAACTTCCTCCAAACATTTATATTTCACTTTCAATGAGTAGGGGTGTCCGATGTCACAAAATAAAGTTTCGATCCGATACCAAGTAATATAGGACCAGAAACGCAGACGTTGATATCGGTACGATTTATTATTAAATGCGCCATATGTACTATGTAAATGAGAGTAAAAGTTTTTCATAAATGAATGAAGCCATTTCATTGCTTTTCACAGTCAATACTTAAACCACAGGACAGTTTAAAGGCAAATAACAAAACATATTTAATTATTATTATAGACTGAATGTGCAAACATTCATTTGTGGAGAACAATGAAGGTTTTAATACTTAAATAGATAAGAAAAGTGCAAATAACAAAACAAAACAAAAGCATAAACAACCCTCTGCCATTCTTCTTCCCTTCAGTTAGAGCAATGGTTCTTAACCTTGACAGCCCTACATACATCGCATCACGTTTTCATTCACGTGAATTTTTTTACATTTTCAAAATAGTGATGGATATGGCAATAATTAATCTCAATGTCATATATTCTATGTAATTCTATGCAAGTATTTTCTCTCACAGGATATAACAAGAATTGCCCATTCACTGTCTAAGACTGTGAAAAGCAACATACCATGCACAGAGTCTGAGTTTGGGCCGGGACAACAAGTCGATATCAACACTGTCCTTTCTGTGGTGGACGACTTCATCAAACAGAACAACAAAACCAGTGACGGCAGCCAGGTTAAAACTCAGAGCTTTCACAACCACATTCAGCCTCAGCTACCAGGTGTGTAACCTGCTGTGGATAGTGAATACTTTGACATTTTATACAATTCTGTCTTTATTATGTACAGTGCTCATTCAGTATGGAGTGAAGGGGGCGTAAAGGGCTAAAGCCCTGTAACCTTTCCAAGCTCTTCTACTCGGCCCTCACACGTTTCTTTCAATAGTCCTTTTAAGGAGCTTGATACTATGTTTCTGTCCCTGTTCAAGCTATGAATGTAAATAGTAAATTCAATACTATCAATTGATGGTGAACTGCCCCTTTGAAAACTGCAACCAACTTAGACATTATATACATTTTCAGAGGGCAGTGCCAGTGTGCATCCTGGGTCAACAGTGGAGGGGATTCAAAAGAAAAGCAACAAAACACAGTATCTATACCAGCAGCTGTGTCACATTGACAGAGAGCTGAGTCTGCTTGGACCCTCCGGCTTCCCCAACCCACACAGCTACAGCCAGGCTGTGCAGCAAGTCCATGGCATGAAGGGCATTCTTGAAGATCAACTCTTCAAATTCAGCAGTGTCAACCTAAATGAACTTACCCAGAAGAAGTAAGACCACGCCCGTTATCTATAAATTGTGTATAAGTATTTTTACTTTCCAGAGAGACTTGAAAGTCACTTGATAGTCTTTAAATCTGCTTTATGTTTAAAGACTTAGTTTCTATTTATGTGTGTGTGTGTGTGTGTTTTTTTTATTTTGCCTTCCATCATATTTATTTATCACATTATAATGCAGTTGCTAATGGTGACTACTTTGGAAACAGTTTTTAGTTGTGCTTTCAAGGACACTTGACACTGTGAAATAGGCTTATTCACTTTCTTACCAAGAGTGAGATAAATACCAATCTCATGTCTTTATGCTAAATGTGAAGCTAGAGCCAGGAGACGGTTAGCTTAGCTTAACATAAATACTGGAAACAGGGGGAAACAACTAGCCGGGCTCTGTTTAAAGTTTAAAAAACAACATTATGTGTTGCAACTATTTGTTGGTTGGAGCAGTGACTTTCTGGTTACTTTCTGGTTAGTGGCAAGTCACTGCATCCGGCAGCTGTTTTACCAAGAAATTGTTACAGCGTGTAACCCTCTGTAAAACCACAACTTGTGACAATTAATGATAAAATGTGTAAATTGTGAAATTTAGAGGTGCTAGAAGGAAGATTTTGCTACCTTTAGACACATTTTCCTCAGTGTTTATGCTAAGCTAAGCTACCCAGCTGCTTGCTATCTGTCTGCAAGAAAGCAAATGAGATTACAGTATTTACCAAAATGTTGAACAATTCATTAAGTAATACACAGTCTGTGAATAATGGGCTAAAACATGTAAAACCATAATCTGGTATGGTTTAACCTTTTTAACCACTTTCTATTTTATATCAGTTACTCTGTATATAGGTCATATAAGAAATGAAACCATAATGTACATCATACCTGGTAATACCTGGCTTACAGCTAAATGTAGAACATTTTGGTTTAAATTAATAATACTTCAGTGAAATGCAGTAATTGCACTTCATAAGAGAGCTGTTATTAAATTCACATTCTGTCATTCCTCTCACCTGCAGATTAAGCCCGGTAGACAGCACTGATTGCGACAGTAGTCAGCCGAAAAGGATGTGTTGCCATGGAGGACTACCCTGGTGGTTTATTTTAGTTGGCTGGCTGCTAGTGATCGCAACCAGTGTTGTAGCGGGATATTTCACAATGCTTTATGGGTTGAAATTTGGGAAAGAACGCTCCATAAGCTGGTTGGTCTCCATGATTGTCTCCTTTTTTCAGAGTATCCTCGTCATTCAGCCACTGAAGGTGAGAAGGTGCCTTCCCCTCAGAAGGGGAACCTCATTCATTTTTATGTGTTTTTGAAAGCTTGATTTCAGTTTACTTTCCTACAGAGATACACCTCCTCATGAGCACATGCTAAATATTATATTGGGAGAGTACATCTTTATTCACTTATGTTTATGTCTTTTTCCACAGGTGCTATGTATTGCAGTCTTCTTTGCACTCGTAATAAAGAAAGTAGATGAGGAAGATTTTCAAAATGTGGTGTTTGCTGGAAATGACACAAATCTAGGTAAAAAGTACTCCCAAACCTACCCTTTCATAGTCTCATTGGAGTTACTCATCACTAGAAATGTTCAGTTTTTACAACAAACTCTACACTCACAGGTGATTGTAAGGACCAACAAGCGGTCAGACAGAATAACAGCCTCTATGAGCCTCCTCCTCCTGCAGACATAGAGAGGATGAGAAAGAACAAGATTTTGGAACAGAAAGCCTTTGCCCTCCTCAGGGAGATTTTGAGTAAGTAGAAGCACTGATTTTTTTTTTTGTGGGTGTATTTCAGAAGAGAAGATTAGAAGAGAATAAAAAATTCCTTAAACAGGAAATAATCTGCTCAAAATCCATCCAAATGACTCAAATGAAAACAAAACTTCTTGCAGTTACTGAGTTCACTGTTTGGGATCATTAGGCAGTTTTGAATATAATATATATGTTAATTAGTCATCAGTTTGCTAAATGATAGCAAAGGGGTCCCATAAGGAAAAAAGGTTGGAAACCACTGTTCTGTTGTCATAAGTCAAAATATATGTTCATTTGTCTACACTTTAAAGCAAACAAAGAATCCACACACTCCTATTGTAACTCTAATTATGTACCGATCTCTGACCAATCTGTGACGGAGGCTCAATAAGATTCCAAAATAAACATGACAAACAAGGAAAAACCACACATGTCCAGTCTTAAAACCTTTGTTTTACGCTGGCTCACTGTAACACCCACTAACATAGCCATAGCCATCATTAATGATTAATTTTATTAGTAGTAAATCAAAATGGCTTAAACCAAGCCAACTGTTCCCACATTAGTTATGCATTTACGATAATTAACTTTACTAATTAACATTAATTGTTTAAAAAACTGTTTCATGAAAACTTGAAGCTTTACTTTGACTCCGCATTGCAGTTATCGCATGTTTAAATTTAACTTCAATTATCGTGTGCCCATTTGTTGCAGCTTACATGGGGTTTTTGTGGATGTTGCTGTTGGTGGCACACGGCCAGAGAGACCCCAATGCTTTTTTCCTGAAACAGCACATCCGGAATAGCTTCAGTGGGGACATCTCTGACAGTATGAGTCTTGGAGATGTGTTCACTTGGGCCAAAACATCTCTACTGAGTAACCTTTTTGGAGTTTATCCAGGTAAAACTCTATCTGCACCATTACGTTAATAAAATATCAATTGTTCTGTTCTCTAAATGTCTCTCAGATAGGAACGGGCTCCCTCAGCACACAGTGTGTGTTACAGTGCACTCTTGACCTGATATTTTAGAGAAAAAGAGGGGAAAAAACACAAGCAGACCTTTTAGATTATCTTCTTTTATTTCGTTTTTATTTTGATAGATATAGAAAGTAGTTGTCAGCCCAATCTGTTTTTAATATAGGCACCTACTGTACCACGAGACAGCTTTTCTTATGATACACAGCCAGAAATGTTTAGTTTATTCTTGATACAGACATACAAACATTGTGCCAAAATATCTTTGTTCCCCTTTCTTTTCACGTAAAAGTTCAATAACATGATTTGCTCAGTGAAGCAAAACAATTTACAATGCCTCATGTCAAAGGAGCTTTATGTTTGCTTTTCGGGGGGTGCCGAAAGTCTGCTGTAAGTAAAAAGCTGTTGGGTGCTGTCCAAAAAGCAGACTTCTTGCTGTCATGCTGTGGAGTTAGATAAAAATGAACTCCATGGCTGTGGAGCAGGATGCTTTTAGTATTGAATTCCTTATTGTTTGTATCTTTTTAGCAGTTGGGGTTTGTAAAGTCCTCCTGGTAGGCTAATGCAAAAAGGAGCAATTAACTGGTGACAGATGTTTGTTGGTCAATGGATTCAATAATGTGAGCAGAGAAGTTGCAGGTTCTGGCCGTGATGAAAGGCTGATGTGTTGGTGTTCAGGATTAATTAAAAAAAAGTGTCTGCCCTGCTTAATATGCTCATCAATTTTTACAACCAAGAAAAATGAATGACAGTTTTCAGATAAAAATTGAGCTTGTTCAAAATAACCATATTTTAGTTTGGCTAAATAACCCAACAGTAATGCAAAAAAAAATAACTGGTCAATTGACTCAAAACTCAAATTTTAGCACAGAATGACAATCTGTGCTAAAACAATAAAGATCTCCTCCAGACATGTATTAAGACATAAATAATATACAGGAATGTCCCGACCCGATTTGAACTGATCGGTATCGGCTGTATTGAGCTTTAATATTCTGATCCATTGTTTTACGTCAGCTGTCACGCATCTATTTTTACTCACAAAGCTTTCATGCACAGTGCATCCATGTCAACTCTCTCTGCCCGCCTCCTCACTCTGAGCTCTGTGTGTGAGAGAGCAACAGCCCGCAGCGGGGTTTCACCGCGGGTGGGGCTGCCTGTGCTCAGAGTACAGAGCTGTACAGCTATGCTCAGCACATTATAATAATAATAATAATAACATAATAATAATACAAACAAAGAAACTGTAAAATGCTATGTTCCAGGATTTATCACAGATGGAAACTCCAAGCTAGTGGGTAATGCTCGTCTCCGTCAATTGAGAGTGCAGAAAAGCTCATGTCAGATTGCCGGGTCCATGCTCCAGTTTGTACCAAACTGTAACGCTCCATATTCATGGGAGGTGGAGGACATGGGCTCCTACAACCCTGGCTGGAACCACTCTGTGAGGGATAACAACTCAACAAGCACCTCCAGCCCATGGAAGTACCAGACACAGGCTGAGCTCAGGGCTTATCCTGTCTGGGGGGAAACGGTGCTCTACAGGGGAGGTGGCTTTGTAGCGGAGCTCGGCCCAGATTTACAAAATGCCAGCAGGTACGTACATTAGCAAAATGGAACGCATCAATATGAGAACCAAGGATATTCTTTCTATTCTTTTTTACTGGACTGCAAGTTTACATTATCCTCAGTTGGCCAGGTGGTTTAGTCAACCTCAGATTTATCAAAGCAAGCAATATATTAAAATATTCTTGTGTATTTCATCTGCAGCACCCTTGAGTATCTGTTCAGCAACAAATGGCTGGATATGTACACCAGGGCGATCATTGTAGAGTTCACTGTTTATAACGCCAATGTGAACCTCTTCTGCATCGTCACACTCTTGTTGGAGACTACAGCCGTAGGTAAGGTTTAGTCTGAAACCCCCATTGACACTGATTCCTAAACCCACCCTGTATATTTGTATTGCAGTATGCACTTTTGTTGGTTCTCTATTTTGCATGTTGCAAATATCATTCTTGTCAATTTTGCACATTCCTGTATAGCTCTTAGATCTTTCTATCTTTCTATTTAAACATTCCTTGCTTGTGATTCTTATGCCCCAATGCACCAAGGAAAATTCCTAGTATGTGTAAACTTACTTGGCAATAATTCTGATTCTGAATCATAATGTAACTACTGCTTTGCCAAAGATGCAAATGTGAAACTTTGTTAAAGAAGATTTATATGTAACAGATATATAACATTATCGTAACACCAAGCTGTGCATCGTAGACCATACTGTCAGCTTTTGTTGTCTCATATCGATATACTGTACCCTACATTATATAAATGAGATCTTGCTAGCCTGCTTGTGTTTAAATAAAATTGTTTCCATTGATTTTTAGGAGCCTTTCAGTTCAACAGTGAGCTACATAGCGTTCGGCTTTACAGTTCAACTGGTGGTCTTCCCATCTTTGTTATGGCTGCTGAGATCATATATGTGCTCTTCATCCTCTATTACATGTTCCTGCAGGTAAACGCCAACATTACTACTGCAGAATGTGGTTCCAGTCAGAACTCGCTGGGGTTTCTATATTTACTGAGTGCTTCACAAACTTAGACTGACCTCATAATTTGCAGGCAGTGCTCATTAGTCTGTCCACATAAACCCTGTCACCCCAGCTTCGAAGAGAGCATGCTGTTTGATTTTCAATGACGTACCAATTTTTCCAGAACATATCTGTTGTTTGCTCCTGCAGCTGGAAGAGAATCAATCTCAAGGACTATTAAAATTAGAGAGATTGACTTGAGGTTGAAATGCTGATGGAGGTATTGTGTTCAAAATGTGCATGTGGATAAGTCATCAAACTCTTAGATTTGTTTGTAAATGAAGGACATTTAATTCTCCGGTTTGACTGTATGCTTCCTGAATTATGACAGGAAAGACCTGAGGCCAGCAGTAATGTTTTGATGACAATGTTGCTGTGGTGAGGATGTAAAATCATTACTTTCATTTGTGATTTTTTATAATCACTGTTCCTTATTCTATACAGCACAGTTTTTATAAGCACAGCACTGACTCATACCTCAATTATATTTTTCCACTTTATTCAGGGCCATTTTGGTTTATGTCATAGATGTTCACCATTAACTGTAATTTCTGAGACAGCAAGTTCCCATTGTGTGTCCTTCCTTGCAGCCTCTTGAGGCTCTTTTATGTGATACAAAATGTTTGTGCAGACCTTTGAAGTTCACCTGGAAGTTTGGATATCAAACAGCATTGAGATCAAAGTCTATATACCGCATATTAAAACAGACTGCATAAATGCACGCTGAGTAAACGTTAATCATCTACAACCAACAATTTAAATTGTAAACTAACTTAGAAGTAAAAAGCATGAAAAGTGTATCCTTTCCATTTTTATTGTTATCTACATTTGTTTTATTATTTTAACTTTTTACTTGACACTGTTAAGAATTCCACAAATCAATAAAGGTTATATAATACAAAATGTGTTAGAAGACCAATTGAGAAAAAAAGAAAAGCAACCAGTCTTTTAAATAAACATTTATCAGGATGATTTATTGTCAGAAATTGAATATAATATTCATAGGTATGTAGTGTATAATCACCTAAAAATAAGAATTGTTGTAGAATGAGCTGTTTTTATCTACAGAGGTAGCGGGTCCTCTTCTACGGTGTCTGCCATGTTGAACCACCATGTTTTTTTCTAGAAAGGTACTCTGAGAGTACACACCTCTGCTAAGACCAATTAGTCCAGTCTTCTATAATACGCAGATCTGCACACTATTCACATTAATTACAAAAAGTTCAGAAAATCCAGAATTAATCTGTAAAAATCATATCATCAATATTTCTCACATACCTTGGCCCATGCTACACCCTTCCACCCAGTAGGGCCAGTAGTTGTTCCACAATCCTACTGACTGACAAACAAACAAAGCCACAAATGGCACCGAAAAGATTAACCCTGGCGAAGGTAATATTTGTGCATATTTTCAAAAGTGGTTTCTTCTTACTTATGTTAATGGTTCCTCTTGTGTGACATGACAGTCTGCCTTTCTTTTCCTGGCAGTGCAAACTAATGAAACAGCAGAAGTGGGCTTACTTCCGGAGCAAGTGGAACCTTCTTGAGCTGACCATCATCCTGCTGAGCTGGAGTGCCGTGGCTGTCTTCATCAAGAGGACCCTGCTTGGGAACCGCGACATGACCTACTACCAAAACCACAAAGACCAGTGAGACTAACATATGTTATACGTGCAGTGGGCTTTATGTCGCGGTTAAGTATTTCTGACTAATGCTTATCACTTTGGAGAAGAAGAAGAGCAGTTCTCTGCCATATGAATATGTGTGTGAATGGGTGTGTGTGTTGTAAAGTGCTTGGAGTGGTCGGTAGACCAGAAAAGCTCTAAAAGTCCATTGTGAGCTTGTTAGCATGCTAATTTTAGCATTTCAGTCAAAGCATTACTGAACAGTCTGATGGAGCCACTAGCAGCTCTCCTGTGATCACTGCATATTTTGAAAGTGTTTTTTGATAGTACTCCTATTCTCCTATTTGTGATTGTCCACATCTTTATTGTGCGTGTAGATTTCCTAGTTTCTACGAGACAGCCACAGCGGACTCAACGCTCCAATATCTGATTGCCTTCCTGGTCCTGCTTGCCACCATCAAACTGTGGCACCTGCTCAGGTTGAACCCTAAAATGAACATGATCACTGCTGCACTGCAGCGGGCCTGGAGCAACATATCCAGTTTCCTTGTGATTATAGTGATCATGTTCATAGCGTATTCCATTGCAGTGAGTATCTTGTCCCTTTATCAGAGTCTTAACTTTTCTCAAAATATCATTTTAATTTCAAAGTTCTCCTGAATCACCTGGGGTAAGTTGCTCAGTTAAGGCACTTTTTAAAAGGTGAAAGTGAAAAATTTAATACAATTTAATTAAGTAGAGTAGCAAAGAGTAAAACTTTTTCCCTCCTGTCAAGAGAAGGTATGCTCAAGGATACAGACATTTAAAATGAAACATGAAAATACTTGAAGATTTTCCAAAAGTTTTATTGCTTTCTTTGCAAGCCAACATACAGTTGTTGGTCCTCCTTAACATATTAATGAATTTTAATCTTCTAATTTACAGCACACATATTCTATGATTCAAATCACCAACATTGTGTACTCAATCAACTTTCTAGAGCAATGTGATTTATGGCTGGAAGATGTCCTCTTATCGAACCTTATCGGACGCTCTGGTGACCATCATCAGTTTGCAGATAGGCATCTTTAACTATGATGAGGTACGTGAGATTTTCCTCTGCTCACAGATTTGCTATGTACCATGCTCGATTATTAGATTAGATTAGATTAGATTAGATTCAAATTTATTGTCATTGCACAAGTACAGGTACAAGGCAACAAAATGCAGTTATGAGACATTCTGGAGTAATAATAAGGGCATACAGGTAAATCTCATATGTGGTCAGTCAGCTCAGACTGATATTAATGTCTCTCACTGTTTGTCAGGTCTTGGACTGCACTCCCATGCTTGGTGGATTACTCTTTGGTTCCTGTATTGTGTTCATGACGTTGGTGGTGCTCAATCTCCTTGTTTCAGTGATCCTTGTGGCATTCAGCGAGGAGCAAATATATCACAAGGTAATATTTACCATGAGTCATTATTCTAGGTTTGATATTTATGTTAAACAGTAATTTGGGTAGCTTTTTTTACAAATGCACTTGGAATTTTCAAGAACCCTACCGGGAGGATTATTGTCATATCAGTGTTCATTTGAATTATAGTTATATTTACTTATATTCTACAAAGCTAGAGCCCTTAATTTACAGTGTACCCAAAAACCACTAGAAAGAACCTCAGGTCTTATTGAAAGGTGTGCACTAACTATTTGATGCAAACAATGTTTTGAGCACAGGAAAAAAACTTTATACAACACTGTAAATCAACTAATGAACAATACATTAAGGTTGGCCGATATATTTAAAATTTCCAACCGGCCACGGTCAGTCCAACATGCACCTGTGTTTGTGCTGTGCAAGTGGAAGACTGACACTGCCAGACTATCCTTGAGATAATCTCTTCTTGGATATTAGTCTCTACCCTCTTTTTCAACAGCAAACACAACCTCACACATACTCTTATACAACTTCAGCAGTGAGGTTGTTTTTGTAATTAAAATTTAAATAAATCATTGCTAGCTCTGTAGTCATGCCAAATCAATCAAAAGCTGTTCTCATTAGATTGTCTGGAAAAAGATGCTACTGTAACCCTCCCATTTGTCATGTGTGGGCTAAACTTAAAAGAATAAAGAAATAAAGAATAAACACATTACACATTGCAGCTGTCAGTTCGGTCCTCGTGCACTCCTACTGCTAATGCAGAGCTTGGCAAGTGAACAGTGAAGCAAAGACGTCCATGCAGAAATGCTGTACGGAGCTCAGTATTAATTAAATAAATAAGACATTAGTCTTTTTTTCTTTCATTAGCCTATAGATTTAAAAAAGCATTTCGGCTCTTGAATAACTTTCATTTTATGATGTCATGTAACTTTTTATTCCAAATGAGTTGTCACCCGTCACTGCCACAGCAATCAGCTCCTGTGAGATTGAGCGACAGCAATGTTAACACTGAATCAATCAACTTGTTGCTGCTGAGCTAAACTAGCTAACTGTTAGCTGCAGAAGCTAGCTGGTTAATTCATTCAATTTGGCCTGAAAAGAAGCAAAAAGACTTTCTCTGGTAGCTGACAGAAGCTAGGTGACTAGTTAGCAGTTGTTCAGCTTGCTGAGAAGTTGGAGGTCTGTGATTCACTGACAAGGGACTGGTGATGACTGCTGTCATGAAAAGAGACAATCTTAAATAAAAGATGTAAAGTGTCACAAGGAAAAATGCCATTATGGAATAAAAATAGACTGTTTAAAACTAGACATTTGAATAATTAAATTACAAATTCACTTCACTCACCAAATTTGAGTCTTTGTTGTTTTTACAGTGTTTTTTAAGCTGACTAGCAGTACATTTTCTGAAATGTGACAGTAGGGGTGTTACTATTAACATTAACTTAGCTAACTAACTTATGCAATGCTGTAGTTAGCTTGGTAGCAATGCTAGCTCCTGCTTACCATACCATTTTCGACCACATCATTTACTCTTATGCTAGTTTTTAAGTAAATTTGGTCTGATGGCACCATCAGATCTATGTGCGTGAGTTCTTATTATCCTGTTAGTTTTTATTGCTCCTGTTTAAGACACTTTTGTGATGCTTATAAGTGCACTGAGTCTGGTGATGTCACTTACTCTGTAATTAGCCATTTAAAATTAATTAATAAGGTTTAATTAATTAATGAGGGTGTATGTTTTCACTGGTGGCAACGAAGGATATTACACAACCCAGGACTGTGCGTTTTACAGACAGTGTATTCCTCTCATTCACTACATTGAGCAACACATCAACAGAATCAGTTGCACAAGAGCCAGCAGTGGCTCCAGATCATGGGTGTCCATCCTAGGTGCAGTGAATTTAGTCCCCAAACTCAAATCTCAATATTAACAATTGAGCCTTCATCACAGGTTTCTTTTAATGGTTTTATAAAGCAGACCAAAGGGTTGTCAGTCTAGAATGGGACTTTTCTTTTTCAAAAGCCAGAGTACACCTGCAAAATGTCACCATAGGAGAGGAAACACAATTATTTCATTGTTAGTCTCTGAGGGGGCTTTTGTCCCCCAATAACTGTGAAAGAACTGAATTGCACTGACATTTTGAGATGTCTGTCTCCCAGAAAAGAAATGGATACAAATTGAGATCATGGATCAAATCCTTACATGATATGTCTTTAGCAGTGTGTATTGTCAAGCTGCATCTCGCCAATATTTGTCATCACTCTAAAAATTATTTTGTCATCTCCCCTCTCACCTAGCCCTCAGACGAGGAAGAGATTGTCGACTTGATGCTGAAGAAAATCTGCAGTCTTTTTGGGATCAGATATAAAAATACAAAAGACACCCTGGGGCCCGATGTGAAAGAGGCCAGTGGCTTGACCCTTAATAACACCAGAAATCTCAAACTGATGTAACTGACAACTCAGTAAACCCCTAACATAGCTGTATTTCTGAATGTTTGTGAATGTGTTTAAATACTTGCTCATTTATCCATGTTTGTTCACATGCTCATTTATTCATGTTCGTTATTTGTTGTTTGTTCCCTAAGGTCAGAGCATGCTGTGCTGCTCTGTGAATATGGTGTGATAGATAATTATTACACACAGAATTATACTGCAAATCATTTGAATAAGATGTTTATCCTTTTTTTTTAAATTTGATATTTTTGGTATTTTATTGGCATTATATTTGCTTATATATATAGGATTGTCTGCCCTGTATGAGATCTGATATGATTTTGCACTTGCATCTCAATCCGGGCTCAGTGTCGGCAGGTTATGTATTCATGTTCTTTGTTATATTTATAGGGGAGACTCATATGGGTTTCTGGGTTTTCAGTTTTGTTCTGTATATCTTTTAATCTGGAACCACTTTGTGTGTAAGCTTGAAAAGTCCAAGGTCGAAGAGTAGAACTACTAAGCCCCAAAATACACTGTCCAGTAATTGTTCTTTAAGTACCTTATTTTCCTGTGAATCATTCTCTGCTTAGGTAGCACAGCTCACACAGGCAGTGTAGCTGCTCTAAGCTGTTAACATACCCAGGCTTTTATAAAATAAATATTAGAAAAATATAATAATATAGAGAATATTGGTTTAACTGACAGCTGCCAGTTGCAGCATGGTTGATATTGTCCAGACACAAGTCCATCTTTCATATACCTATAACCCATCTTAAATTTATATTTTCATAATCACGTCTTCTACTACTATCTGTTCAGGTAATATCCCCACAGCATAGATACCTTTAAGTGTGAAATATATACAGTTCTATATGTGTAGGTGAAAAGGTTTGTTTGACAAAACTTGTTTTGTTGATACAAACCATACAGTATGTTTAATGTATGAGGCTAAACTGCCAACAAATAAATACCATACAAACATTGTGATGCTGTCAGTGTCTGGCTCACCACAGCTGGCGACAGTATTTGAATGTTAAGCAATAACCACTGTGGCTTTTCTTCAGGGTATCTCATCTAAGCATGTTATCTTTGAAAAAACAAATGCATTTCCAGTTGGGAAACTGCATTCAGATGGAGGTGTGTGTGAGGGACACCTCACCAGAGGGTTAACACAGGAGGACGGTGACAGTAAAGTACCAGGGTCAAAAACTTTAACTTTTCTTTTTGTGGACAAAAACAACTGGGAACTGCTTAAGCCACTATAGTCTTCACCAGTGACGGTGCATACCCTAAAATTAATACTTTGTGTAAAGCAGTGCACACACATAGTACTCCTTTGTATACTTAAGATGGCATCCTGACCTATCTTGTCAGGATCTTATCAACAGTTGAGTAAAAAAGTTGTTATATATATATATATATA